TCGATGTCCCAATATTTCTGGACCTGACTGTATACTGAACAAAGCCCACCCATTCAAACTCTATATTGGCTGGGGATTATGTGATTAAAATCCAAAACATTTGGAAGGCACAAGATTGGGAAAGACCATTGTGAGGGCAAAACATCAAAGGAATGTCCCAGTTTGTACCCAATTTGGATACAACCTTCTGAAGTTACTACAGGCACTTCATTGCCAGGGCTTCAGCTGCCTTATTTATATTTAATTTTTAAACAGCAAATTAGGTCAGATGTCAATGGTATGTGTTGCATACTAAATGCAGAATAAAGGAACATCACTGTGGTCAACGTGTATTAGTATTTTTAATGCACTGCTAAATGATGGATGCTGTCAATGGCAATGTGATGGTTTGATAGTAACAAATTGCTAGAGAATGTGAGATGGTGCAAGTCCTATTGGTTTTGAGTTTGTTTTTACAGCTATTTTGTGATTGCCTTGCTAATGGTTAAGCATGGAACAATGACAACTTCATCACACTGGCAGTATCCAGGTTGCAGCTACTTTTCCCATAGCAAACCACAGAATTGCTCTGTAATTGTGACACACCAGATTTTGGTATCATTGCTCAAGATACTTTTTTTTCCTATCAATACTTACAAGACCTTGCGTTTCTGGGCTGATTTCATCTGGTTGAAATTTGTCAATACTTTCTTCTTCTTCTGCCTAAAGAAAACAAAAATAATGGTTAATGCACTCTGCCCATAGTACTTTTCCAAAATTCTTCATCAGACATTTTGAACAGGTTTTGTATTAATCTGAATTTCAAATATACAGCATTCCTGTAACAGTATGGACCATGTTACTTCTAACTTTGAAAATAACCAGGAACCTCAATTTTTCTCATGCTATCATTGTTTAAGCCTCTGCTGACTGATCAACTGAGCCGTTGCCAAATTACTCAATGGCAAAACATTTTAAAAAAAAAGTTTTGAGAATTTACTTTAAAACAAATTGACAAGTTTAATGAAAAATGGCCTTTAGATATACATTTCTGGAACACTAACAGGTTCCAGGAACCTGGAACAAAGATCATTGTTCAAGCTTCACATTTTCAAATATTACCAATGTTTACCTTAACCTTCAGTGTTCAGGATACTAAATCTTGTTCTTTACTGTCACATCTTAAAACTTGCCTTCAGGAGTTTGCACAACTTTTCTGAAGCAAGTATATACCTTTGCATCTTTTTAGTCAACAAAGGATGAGAAACTTTCTGAAGCAAAGTTGAAAGCAAACAGAATTTAGTAGGAGCTAACAGAATACCCTTATTCATAATCCTGATTAATATCAAAAAGTGAGATATTTTTACTTTATGTTTCTAGAGCCTAACTTAAGTAAGCAAGGCCTGAGACCTTAAAGCTTTCTTATATATAGCCAGTTTGCTTAAATGAAGAATCAGAGCAATCTATTACTCAAAGTACTTACATCTTATTACGCTGTTTGCAGGACTTGCTTACTGTCACCAGATCTGAAAGCTCAGGCAGAGCATCCATCAATGGGTGCATATCTCCCACAACTGGAATAGCTTTTCGCTTTGCCTCTGCTTTTTGCTGCTGCTTTGCTAGCTTAATGCCCTCAATTTCTATTTAAGGGAAAAATATATTAGGAAGGTACTTTAAAATTCTGCTAAACAAATTTTTTAAATGTATACTACTGCCTGAATAGGTCATGTGGTATAAGTACAATGATAAAATGATATAGTATTTTGTCAAAATGCAAACTTTCAAATGCAAAGCTCTAAAAATAAGAAAATGCAATTTAGTAAACAGTAAGATCAGTGGAATAGTGTGCTATGAGTCAATAATCCAAAGAATGAATGAATGCATACATACATACAGACACACACATATCAGACTTTACGGCTTGGGAAAGGAAAAGTTTTGAAGAAACCTGAAAATTCAGGCTTGGCTTGCAACAGGTTGCATGCAGACTTGATACTCTTCTTCTCTCTAACCTAGGCAAATTTAGGAAACTCCTGCACTCATGTGCTATCCTTGGGCCAATGTCCTTAGGTGAGCCTTTGCTCCAAGTATGCCAACTTTCAGAGAAAGTTATAGGTTGTCCATTATAGATTGTCCTTGGGTTATGATAGCAATGGGGATCAGAATTTTTGTTGCTAAACAATATAGTCATAAAGCGCAATGTCACGCAACTGCATCGCTTAGCAATGGCAATCCTAGCAGTCCCAGTTGCTGTTGTAACCTTAAGACTGTGCAGATCATTAAGCGAGGACCTCACATAACCACATGAGGTGAGAGTCCCAAACAAGCAGGTGCTATGGAGCATGCATGGGCAGTATGGAGGACAGGCGGGCAGTACAGAATGTGGGGGGTGCTGCAGGCAGGCACTACAGAGTGCAGGTGGGTAGGTGCCGCGGATGGGTGCTAGAGTGTGGGCAGACAGGTGAAAAAGACCAACTTGTGGGAACCACTTGCAACCTCCTGCTGACTTCCCTATTGACTGCTTGTGGGAAACCAGCAGGGAGGGTTGCAAATGGTGATCATGTAACTGTGGAACACACTGCAACTGCTGTAATTGCGAGCTGGTTGCCAAGCACCCAAATCAGGATTGTAGGGACACGGCAATGGCCGCAACTTCGAGGACCAGTCATAAGTCCCTCTCATTCAGCACTGTCATAACTTTAAACAGTCAGTGGCCCTGCTAAGTTCATCCAATCTCTTTTGGGAAAGGTGGGCCCAGTGACCCACCTGCAGGGCCACGCAGAGTTTTCTGGGCATCTGGAGCATAAAATTGTTTGGCTCCATTCCTAGTTGGATACCAAGCATGTGGCATGGCCTGTGGAGATGCCTGGAGTACATACTTACCCTGTTATTTGGGAAGAGTTTGATCCTGTTGGACCTGAGGTAGTGGACAGAGTCCTCCAGACTGTAAATGCCACCACTTGTCAGTTAGATCCATGCCCCTCCTGGCTTGGGAGGTGACATGTAGATGTGTCCAGGCAATGGTGAATTCATCCTTGAAGGAGGGAGTGTTTCCAGCAGCCTTTAAAGAGCCGCTGGTGCACCCTGTCCTCAAGAAACCATCACTGGATCCCACCGTACTGGACAATTTTCATCCAGTCTCCCAGCTCCCCTTTTTAGGGAACATGGTTGAGAAAGTGGTGGCATTGCAGCTCCAGAGGATCCTGGATGAAATGAATTATCTGGACCCTTTCCAGTCGGGTTTCAGGTCCGGATATGGGATGGGAACAGCATTGGCTGCACTTTTGGATGATCTCTGGTGGGAGCGGGATGGGTGTAGTGCATCCATCCTTGCTCTTCTTGACCTCTCAGTAGCTTTCAATACCATCAACCATGGTATCCTTTTGGGTCAGTTCGGGAGTTGGGGGTGGGCAGCACAGTATTGTGCTGGTTCACCTCCTTCCTCCAGGGCCGGTCCCAATCAGTGTTGATAGGGGGCGAGAAGTCCAGGCCATGGCCCCTCCTTTGTGGGGCGCCACAGGGTTCAGTACTTTCCCTGCTCCTTTGACATCTACATGAAACCACTGGGCGAGATCATCTGCCACCATGGGATGAGGTATCATCAATATGCAGATGATATCCAATTATACATCCCCATCCCAGGTGATCTGAGTGATGCTGTTACTACCCTTTTGTGGTGCCTGGAGGCTGTGGTGGCCTGGATGGGGAACAACAGGCTTCAGCTGAACCATGGTAAGACGGACTGGCTTTGAGTTGGGGGCTCCTCTGTATCTGGACTTTTACCATCTTTGGTTCCGGATGGAGTTGCACTACCTCAGACAAACCTGATGCGTAATCTTGTGGTCCTCCCGGACTCAGGACTCCTGCTCAAGGAGTAGGTGGCAGTCGTGGCCAGGAGGGCCTTTGCTCAACTATATGTTGTGTGCCAGTTATGCCCTTTCCTGGACTGGGAGGCCCTCCAGTCAGTCACTCGTGCCCTAATCATCACCTGTATAGACTACTGCAATGCGCTTTACATGGGGCTACCCTTGAAGAGCATCCAGAAGCTACAGCTGGTTCAAAATGCAGCCGCGCGGGCAATTTTGGGTGCCCCAAAGATGGCACGTTACATCTTTGCTATGGGAGCTGCATTCGGTGCCAGTTTGCTTTCAGGTCCAATTCAAGATGTTATCACCCTTCAAGCCCTACATGGTGTGGGACTGGGTTACCTGAGGGACGGTCTCACTCCCACTATATTAACCTGCCCCACCTGGTCAAGCAGAAAGGGTATGCTGCGGACCCCATCGATGAAAGAAAGTTGACTGGTGGGGCCCAGAAGGGGCCTTCTCTGCCATGGCCCCTGCCCTATGGAATACCCTCCTCTCAGAGGTAAGGCAGGCCCCTACTCTCGACCTACCAGAAACGTGGTTAAGATCTGGCTCTGCCAACTTGCATGGGGCGAGAAAAGGGGCAACCAACCCTGGGGATGGCTAGCACCTTGAAGATGTTCCTGTATGTTAATATCCCTTCTACCAGCAGCACCTTGGAAAGTATTATTACTTATGTATGGATATGGTCTTTATTGTATTTTCATTGTATTTTAATATTTATTTTTTGTTTTTACTGTAAACCACCCAGAGTTACTTTCTAGTGAGATGGACAGTGGCCAAATTTGAAATATAAATAAATAAATAATAAGTATTCTGCGATGTCTCCTGACTCGTCCACGACATTTTACTGGAAAGTTGATACAAGTAAATGAAGTCATGGCCTTCTTAATTCAAGAAGAATAAACAAATTCAGAAGCACCCCTCCCTAGTATTGAAAATAAACCTATGATACACTCAATAACTAACAATTTGTTGCTCTTTTAAAGTGTTAAGAAACAGGAATCTAAGGCACTGGTCTTACTCTTCCTACTAGTAACATCAGCTCTCTTATCTGCAACAGAAAGGCACATTTTCTGTTCTTTTTTGGGGGGAAAGACTTGTATCTGATCAATAAAGTTTTCTAGCAGAAACATTCTGTGCAAGTACTTCATCCAATGTTATCTAGGTAAAGTTTGTTCTGTCATGCTGTCAAGATGCTTCTTCTCTGACCAAATATCAGTAGATTGGGGGGGAAAAAATTACTATACTTTTAGCTTTGTTCTGATGTAATGTTCCTTTAAAGGTTTCTGGTAATTCAGTAAGAATGAAAGATAGGAGGAAAAGGGAGGGGGGGAACCTCATGTATTCATTCAGGGCTGCAACAATGGAATGACAGCACTTACAGTCCTGAACAGTACAGGCTCAATTAGCTTCAAAGCGCTAAAACCTTAATCAGCCAATTTTACTGCAATTTTTTCAAAGGCATGGTATAATTTTAAGAACTCATATTACTGTAATGTCCAAAAGACGAGGTAAAAGCACACATTTTGAACTGGAATATTAGTTCAATCTGGTTGTCTTTTTCTTAGCTGAAGACCAACATTCATTTTCATGCGGGTTTCCCCCATCTTCTATGAACTACTGAGCTGCAAACATTCCATTAATTCAGTGTGTTACCATTCAGTTAGTATATTACTACTTTCCTGGTCATTATATTCCTTCATTCTTGAGTTACACTGTTTTGACATCTGAATGTACAACATTCAGTTGACCTGTCATAGTTGCTTTTTACAGATGCTTATGAGAAATATGGATTGTATATACTTTTCCTTGGAAGGACTCTCTTGGCTAGTTGACAGTATTTTCAGCTCTGCAACACTTCTTTTTTTGGTCTGAAGCTATGAAGCTGTGTTGTTCAAAGCTTTCCAAAAATGTCACTTACTTAAAGCTTGCACATACCTAATTTTGAATTCTTTTCCTATGAAATCGTTTTAGGGGTTAAGCCACAGGTTATGTTTCTAGTGGCTAAATTTTTGCATTTTTTCTTCCTTTTTCTCAATTTAACATGATTTATTTGTGTCTGGACTGGAATACATATAACTGCTATTATTCTGTTAGGATGAATGTTAACTCTCAGTGGTCAAAAAAATAGGACAAATAGAATGCCTTCCCAAAAGAAATCAAGCAGAAAGCAAATCAACCCAAAGATGGTGAAAAATACATCTGCATAAAATTATTCTTTGATAGCTACAAAACTACATTTGCTAATCAAGTAATTAAATCTCCTGACAACTAGTTTACTACACTGATATTTAAAGAAATAACATCAACTGTTTCATAGGCATATTACTATGACTGATTACTGAAGTAAAAAAAAAAAAAGCAACATTGCATCAATTTGCTAACTAATTTCAGCTTCAGGGGATAATATAATTTGATTTTCACATGTTTCTTTCCACTCTTATGCATCTCCAACTCAGTCTTGACTCCTGGAAACTGCCAGGATGAGTCCCTGCAGTTTTCTTGGCAAGATTTTTCAGAAATGGTTTGCCATTGCCTGCTTTCTAGGGCTAAGAGAGAGGGGCTGGCCCAAGATCACCTAGTTGGCTTCATGCCTGAGGTAAAACTAGAACTCGCAGTCTCCTGGATTCTAGCTTGGTGCCTTAACCACTACACCAAACTGGCTCTCTTCTTTCCACTGTAACCATATCCACAAGTATCTATAAAATGTCACCCTATTTATTTATTTATACATCACATTTATATAGCCACCCATCTCACACAAGCGACTCTGGGCGGCATACAACATTATTTATTTAACAATTGCTAATTTCTCTACTGTCCAGCAGCGGTCACAGGGAAGTCGGCTCAATCAGGCTTTCTTCCTCTGCCAATCTTCTGCCGACTGCGTCTAGGCAGATCCAGCACTGGTTCCTGTTCCCCGCAGAGAGCGCTGCCAGTGTTTCCTCCCACAGAAATGGGAGTACCTATTTATCTATTCGCAAATGGTATGCTTTCAAACTGCTAGGTGGGCAGGAGCTAGGGATGAATGACAGGAGCTCACTCCTTCACGCGGAGCTGGGCTCGAACCGCTGGAGTATCGACCATTTCTGACTGGCAAACTCCAGCGTCATTAAGCCGCCACACCACCGTGTCCCCTATGGCAGTTCAACTGAACTCAATCACTTACTTGGCTATACTTTTTGTAATGTTCCTATCCTATCCTTTCCCCTTCCCTTCAGTAGTTCAGTTATTTCCCTCAGAATAGTTAGAGTACAAAGACAGGACTTTGTCTAAGAATCTCCATTTTAATTTCCTCCTTAACTGACAAACTGTGGGGGCTCTCTGCCCTCTAATAACAGCTAAGTTATTAAGTCTCGTTATTATCCTTCTCCTTATCATACTCTCTCATTACATCAGGTATTTATAACTTCAAATCATAAGATAGGCTAATGACTTTATAAGACTGAGGAGTGAAATTGGTTCTATAATACATACTATATTATCCATTTTATCCATTATCCAGAGATCATTAAAATTACTGTTACCTTTAATGAAACCTCAGTGAATTAATTGCATTTGTTTATCTTGGTAAGAAACATCTCACTGAGGGATATTTGTTTGCAAAATCTATATAGTGTAAGCAGTACACAGTTTAAAAACACATTTTGTCTACCTTGAGAAATAATTTCCAGTTATTAAAATGTCCTCACAGGAGACCTTTTCAGTTGTTAACTGGCCCTCCAGGATTCCATCGCGAACAGGCTTCCATGTTCCTTTGTTCACTCCACATTCTTTGTTCCGAATCATGAGATCCCATATTTCTTGTCACGAGTGGCTCATTATTCTGTTTCCTTCCCTCTTTCCTTCTGCCCCATTTGCTTTATGGTAGCCAAAGACATTACTCTTACCTTTCTCACATCTGGGCCTATCTAGACTGTGTGATGAGGTACAGCGAGTAAAGGTTGAAGAAACAAAATAACCAACAATGTACTAGATTACTTGGATTCAAAGAGATCTTAGATCTGATTGAAAACCTATCAAATACGTATTACAATCCTAACTAAGCAATACACTGTACAAACTGTACATAACAATCTAGCTATCTGTGAAAATTATCAAATACTAACTTTGTAGCCATCTCTCCTTACGCAGCTTCATTTTTTCTTTCTTAGACATAAGTACTTTTCCATCTCCATCTGAAAAATTAGAGAGATAACAACAATGCTTCCTTTAGGTCAATTAATGTTCTCTATATGCATTTCAATTTTAAATATGCAGCCACACTGAATTTTGGAGAGGATATTATTGGAAATAAATATAATTAACTGAACAGAAAAAAATAAGGCAACATATGAAACAGATACATCTACCATCTCCGTCATTTATAATTAACAAAGAATACTTAAAATATGCTAGCCACGTTATATAAATAACATAATTGGGTGCCAATCCATAGGCGCTTAATTATTAGGTTATAGATGATATAACATTTAATTTGAAGACAAAACAAATTCTAAAATGAAAAGACACAACTATTATTGCAATTATTTTTTATCTTCAGAAAAGAGATCCCAGGATCCCTCCAGGGTGCAGAAAAATCACACAGTTTTAATGGGATAAGTAAAATAGATTGAGAAGAGAGATACTGATTAGAGAACATGCAACTCATAGTGTCCACCTTGCAGGTTTCTATTTATTCTTTTCCTTGTAGTATAGGGAAAAAGTAAATATCCCACTTCCAATATTTGCTACATTGATGGGATCTGAACTGCTACCCCAGGCTGAATTTGAATGTTTTAAGAAAGAGAGAGCACACAACGATGTAGGATTTCCTATTATTTATCCTCAGAAACAAACTGCACAATTCTTAACAGAACTCTGATTTGCATCCTTTTACTTGCTCAGGTATCAAAATAGAAAGCATGCAAAAGTTGATTTCAAATAGTGGTAAATCATTCTTGCCCTTTCCTGATATTTTTTAGCACTGCTATCATCTGCATGAAGAGGACACTGACAACCAGCAAAGCTTGCTCTTTTTTTCAGTCAATATTTGTGAAACGGCATTTTCATTAGCAACATATTGGTTTTCCAAGCTGTGTACCTCTGTCCAGCGGAACACTTCAGCATATATCCTACTCTGGCATGGGCAGATGTGTGTGAAGGGCAAGGTCACTGAGCTTTATAAATAAAGCAACAGAGTGAAAGCTATAGCTTGTTGCAATTATATTAGTAGTCCTTCCAATCTGATTTCTAGTAACAATGAAAGAAAGGAATAAATAATTGCCATAGAAGGGATACAAGTTGCTCTGAAAATGGACTATTCCCTCCTCTAGTTCTATTCAAATACTGACGATCAAGACTTCTACAGCCACAGGACCATACGAAAAGCTATGCTGGGTCAGGGGATATACCTTATATATTTAAGTTTTTGTCTCTAGAGAAGGCTCTTACGCTGGCAAAGTGGAAGGAAAGGAAGAAGATGACCAAACATCTCAATAGTCTAGAGAATTGAAATCACAATTTTATGGTACAATTGATTATACTGCCATGTCACTATAATGGCTCCATGTAGTTTCCATTTAAATCCATTTAAGTTTTAAAATTAGTGAGGGGGCATGTGGAGACAGGAAGAATAGAATACCCTCTACCTGAAAAAAAACAAGTTGTCTGCCCCTGCTCAATCGCATTCTGTCCCAACCTGGGCACATCAATTTCCAGAATTCTAGCTATGGTCGTGCCATCTGTAGAATGTGGAGGGAACCCAGAATGGGGAAGGCTGCTCTTCAGCATGTCCCTCCTTCACATTGGGCAACGCAAAAGGAATTAAGAAATTGAGATACCTCTTCATTTTTACTTACAATTTCCCCTTCTTCCCTATCATCATGAGCAGGTCACAAAGTATTAACACAGGATGAAACATCCTACTCATTGTGCATTGTATATGAATCAAAGTTAATAATGCATAAATTGATGATGTTGTTTTTTAGTTTTGCCTTGATTTTAATTGCATTACTTTTATTGCATTTTACAATTTTTAACTGCTGTAAGTATCATGAGTGTTGTACACAAGATGTAAGTTTAAGAAATAGAAAAACACATGAGGTTACCCCAAGAATGTAGAGACTAGACAACTGGACATTAAAAAAACCTACAACCAAGATAAGGAATACCCAGCCTGGAAGACCCCTCCTCATACTGAATGTCCAGGTTCTTTTAATAGGTGGCAGAAGTAGGACCTACACTTATTGCCTCACCATTAACCTCAAGAAAAAAGCTCAAGTGCTGCTGGCTAAGTCTAACCTGTTTTACGGGAGGGCGAAGTTGGAAGCTGGCTGGCAGCTGAAGAAAAGGGTCATTGGTTGCTGGATTCTGGTTGTGCTGAAGATGGCTTTCTAGAAGGCAGGAAGCACCGTGGGTGTGAGGGGCTTGACTAGTTGTTGCTGGAGGCTGGACTGGCTGTGGATGTTAGAAGAAATGGACAGGGAAGGAAAGGCAACTATTAGTTTTGGGTTCCATAGGAAAAGTAAGGTATGTTTAGGGGAAAGTAGAGGACAAGAAAAGGGAGGCTTAGCTAAGTATAAAGCAAAAAAGAGGGCTCTTGCCTGCGGGAACTGAAAGACCAAGGCTCTAGGACAGAAGGAACAGCAGCTGCTATTAGTGACGGTCAAGGCCTTGGTAAATATTGTGAAATAGGAGGGTATTAGCCTTACGAAAATGACAGAATGAATTTAGAAAGTGATGGGAGACTTACAGACTTGGTGAATGCAGGGAGGAGATGTGCTTTTGGAATGCAAGCATGCAGAACAAGAAGAAATATCTAGAGAAGTAATGTTCAAACACTCTTCAGCTTCCTTTTTCTTCCTGAACTATATAATACATTGCCTGCTTCTTTCTTTTGCATGGGCCGACCCGTTCTTTGTTGTTGCAATGGTCAGATTTGTTCATATCTTGGTTCACACTGATAGTGTGTGATGGTATGAGAACTAACTCTCACAAGCAGGAAGGAAAGCAAGAAGTTCCACTGCACAAACAAAAGTCTGCTTCCATAACATTGGCTGTCGTCTGTTGTTCATTCATTTTACACAGAACATTTTTTCCTTCTAGAAAGGCCTAGAACTATAAAAAGAACATTTTTCTAACAGTTACTAAATATGCAAATGAAAACCATGCTTATCCATCTGAAAAAAAATCAGTAACTTAATTAGAATCAACAAGAAGGACATTAAAGATTGCGTACTTTCAAGTTCTCCAGAACCTTAACCAGTCAAAAGGTAAGAAAAGCAAGGAATGGAGAAGCAGCAAATACACTTTTTAAAAAATTGGCTGGATCTGGATATTACAGCCTCTGTTGCTCAAAATCAGACCTAATGATATCTATATGCAAATAATGTTCTGTTTTATTTCCAAAAATGTAAGCCTCATGAAAACAATCCATTACTGCAATCTAGTTACCACAGAAACTGCAAAATATTATTAAATGTAATAATTATTAAGTGTTTGATTCAAATGTGAGGACGCATTTAAAAACATGTAATTTTAAGTAGATAGATAGTAGGTAGATAGATTTGGGATTATTGAAAGAGCAGCTTCTAGCTCATAAAAGTTTTGAAAATTGTACCAACTGAGAGCTAACGGTGTAAAAATGTGAAGAATTTTAACCACTGGAAATAGTGAAACAAATTTTGAAAAGCCTATATCTAAAGACTAGAAAAATGACTTAAAACAGGAATATGAAAGAGTGGAATGAAATGAGTATATCCAATCAAAAACACTAAAAAAAATGTGAACATTGCCAGGGTGAATTAATTAAATAATGTTACAGAGTAATACTGTATTGGAGTATCAGTATTGTAACAGCAGTTGTCCATAAACTTTGTCCTTAACTAAAAGCAGACAAGAATTTATATATATCAGAGAACTTGGGGGGGGGGGGAATGTACCATCTTAGGCAAGAATGACATGCCCTGCTTCTAGCTGCTCAGATCTAAGCACCATGAAGTAAAAAATCGGTATTTCTTTAAATGCAGAGCATTCTTCTACTGATTCCTACAACTGTACTTTATGAAAGTTCTCACAAGGTACAGAAGTAACCACAAGATACTTACTGTGTGTGTATGTGTGTGTGTATTTGTGTATGTATGTGGATGTGGATGGATGGATGGGCAGACAGACTGAGTCACAGTATAACAAATAACAATACCTAGGGCATTTCTCAAAAGTTAAATAATTTTACAACAGCTATTTTTGCAAGTTGTTATTTAGGAAAAGACTAGCCTTATTGCATTATTATACTAATAATTCTGGGTGTTGAATACAAAGCAGCAGCAAGGTTTTGCACTGCAGATTTTTCCGTTTTCTTCTGAGCAATTTTGACATAACTGCATAACTTATACTTCATACATAGTCAGGGAAGCAAGAGTATTATGAGCAGAAAACCACATGAGAGCTCCAAAGTGTTCCCAGCTTGAGTAAAATCTATGCTTTTGGGAGAAAGCTCTGATTTAAATCAGGGAGATGAACTGGATCCAGTTCACATGCCCTGACAACCAGGATAACATCACAAACAAGTCTTAATGGGGAGAAGTCCAGTCCCCTGAGATCATCTATTTCTCACAGAGCAGAGAAGCAGCCAAGGAATCATTGTTACCATGATGTTATGTATGGAGAAAAATATGTATTCTGTGCAATATGAAGCTATTCTCACTTCTATTCCTTGAAGGGGAAAACGAAGCCTGATCCAATTTATCAATTTCAAATCAAATCAAATCAATCTTTATTGCAGTCATCACCAAAGATAAATTTATTAATTTTTGCATACTTATTAATTGCAACAGGCATGTATGAAGATGCTCAATTCTTACCTTTTATGACTGAAACAGGATTCCTTGAATCAGTGTCCAACTTCTTCACCAGAATTTTTGGATCAATGTTCACCCCAGAAAAAATGTTTGATGTCAGTATTGCCTTGCCCTAACAAGAACAAAAATAAATATGAGATATAGTCAATCCTTTAATCACTGATTCCATTTTGATATACAGAATTAGAGCAATAACTTCCTTTCTTCATTTAGGAGAGGAAAACATTGAGATCCAGTCTATAGCATGCAAACATTACTAATGTTTTTGCAGAACTCGTAATACCTCAAACCACTTGGTATCTTTTATTTTTTTTATTTAACTACTATCCTGTTCTTCTGAGAATGTACTTGAACTCAAATTTACCAAGCTGATTAACTTATACTACTCCAGGATATGTCATAGTCCAACAGATTTGTCTCAGAGCAAGGACAAGGTAAAGGAGAGTAACTTATGTTCTGGTCACAATGCAAATGACAATTTTTAAAATTCAAAACAGATGCTGGTTGCAGGGAACACCAAGAAAGTCGGAAATGGTAAGGAATGGTAAGGCACAAAGAGTTGTGGTTTTTAACTGCGCTCATAGGTTGCTGGTAATCACATTTTCCAGTGGAGGATTCCTGAGATGGCTCATCCCTGCAGGGAATTCTAGGATCTCTTTGGATCAGAAAATGTTAAGATTTAGGCAGTAGTGATTGTGCTTGGTCTTGGCCATTAAAAAGAACACAGCAATCAATGCCAGGAAGGGGAGGGAATATTAAAAGGGCTAGAATAACATATGCACCATAACACAAAGCACTTGGGGCAGAACAACCATCTTGCTCTAAAATGAGGGGAAGAAATTTATTCTGAGTCTATCCACCAAAGGTTATGGAATAGGCTTTAATACCTCTATAAGAATATTAGTTTGTTTACTGGGGGTCCTTTGTCTCTCTCTTTTTTCCCCCCAAATGTCACTTTAATTATATTGATATATTATATGTGAGGCTGCTGTTATTGCTATTTTATCCAAGAGTGTAAGAATCAAAACAGCTTGTGTTGTTACTGTATATAATAGCAGGTTAAATGATGAAAACAAACTTAAAATCTTTCTTTTTTAGACAATGGAGTTACTTTTTTATCTGGGATGACCTTTCTCAGGAATGAAAACTGCAAACTGAAAATTGGTTGTGTAGATAACTCCCAAACTGCAGTTTCAGTTATGGAACAGGTTCTTAATATTTCTTTAAAAATACTAGCTTGTTTTCTGGAGATCTTTTCCAGCATACATTCTTGAAAGTTCCTGCAATGAATTAAATATAACATTAACAAAAGTAGCTCACTGCTTTGCTTTGTACTCTTCTGAAAGGATCCAGAACTATATCCCACATCACCATCTGGTGGAAAATCACTATACTTTTGTCTTCAGTATTACCAAATGGGAGTCAAGAACTTGACAAATGGTTAACAAAATAAAGTTCCCATTGACAATGGGATAGAAGTAAAAAGAACTTTTTTGTTTAAATTTGGATAGGTAGGAAGAACTGCAACTTATCTGACTTACTTTGTAATGTAGCTGCCCTTTTGGGACATATAAGATTAACAATGGCGCTATACTGTCACTGAACTGAAGCTGCCTCTATTATGTCCTGATTTTATACTGGTGATTAAAATGAATTTTATCAAGATACCAAGTCCTTTGTGTGTTTTTTTAAAATAACTTCTTAAAAGTCAGATTAGATAGAGCCTGGTGGGCACTAAGGAAGGTATCTCAGGACATTTTAAGAACCTGTAGATGCCACATTGCCAATCTCTGTTTTAATCACTTAAACCAGGGTTCCCCAAAGTGGTCAATATGGACTCCCAAGGGTTGATGGGGCTATCCAAGGGGTCAATAAATGTCTGGGAGTCAAAAGGAAGCCAGTAAATGCCTGGGAGTCAATAGGTAGTCAATAAATAATGGAAGTCGATTGGAGTCAATTAATCTTTTGGGGTCTCTGTACTGCTACTAACACACTAGTCCCTAGTCCTGAAAGTGAGATAGCTAGTGGCAAGACAGCGTTATTCAGGGTTGGATGGTCAGCTGCCAGTGAGAGCGGCTTTGAGTTGTCTCTATCAGCTATGTATTGTTACTGGACTTTTTAATCTATTATGATGATTATTATTATTTGTAGTACTTTGTGTGTGTGTATAGTATTTATAACATTATTTCCGTATATAAATGTTTGGGGATCAATAAATAATCTGAAACTTCATGAAGGGGTCAATGAGCTGAAGAGTTTAGGAGCCCCTGACTTAAACCATGATAGACCCTGATGCTGGGAAAGATTGAAGGCAAAAGGAGAAGAGGACGGCAGAGGATGAGATGGTTAGATAGCATCAC